ACTTAGAAATCAAAATGCTATGATTAATGGTATCGAAAGCTTTTTGTAAATCGATTGACCAGTATCAAGAGCTTTTCTAATTTTTTCAGTTATACTTATCAGTGTGTGGCAGGTTCGAAAACCAAATTGAAACTCATTTAAACAGTTAAAAGAGTTTAGAAAAGAGTACACTCTAAAATATATTAATTTTTCAAGAAGCTTACTAATGTTAGATAAAAGAGAAATAGGTTTATAGTTAGTACATAAAAGTTTAGAGCAGTTTTTGAAAATTGGAATAATACAAGATAATTTTAAAATATCAGGAAAAATTCCATTCATGAATGAGATATTAAATAGTTTAGAGAGAATATCTGAAAATTCGTAGTTAAATTCAATAAGAATGTTTGTAGGAACACTGTTTGGACCTAATAATTTTCTAATAATTAGTTTGAGGAAGGCTTTTTAGTATGCTAGGAAGGTGGTTAGAGTCAGCATTTATATAACTGATGGAATTACCAATTTACCATTTTATTTTTCACATTTTCATATTTAACATTAAATGCCAGTCTAAATCCTGAAAGTTTTTTAGAGAAATAAGAAAAGAAGACTGAGCATTGAAAAAAAATTATATTTTAATTTTACTTATCAAATACAGTGTCAAATTGTAAAAGCAGTAAGTTAACATTTAACATCTTCTTATATTGGTTTATTATGTTTCTGATTGTCATGTATGGGACAGAAAGTTAAAATTCAAGTTATTTTAACTTTAAATAATTTCTCATTTATTTTTCAATACTATCATAAATTGTAACCATATTATCCTTGCTATACACCAAAAGAAAAGTTCTAAACGAAGGAAAACAAATTTTAACTTTGCAATCCAGTATTGGCTTCAAAAGCTTGCTCATAAAAGAGTTGCATTTAGATTTGCTCATATAACTTTTGCTTCATATAAGGTTTGCATTTAGATTTGCTCATATAATTTTTTCTTCATGTAAGGTTTGCATTTAGATTTGCTCATATAATTTTTTCTTCATATAAGGTTTGCATTTAGATTTGCTCATATAATTTTTTCTTCATATAAGGTTTGCATTTAGATTTGCTCATATAATTTTTGCTTCATGTTAGATTTATAAGGTTTTTAAGATTTTTTCAATTTTTTTTTAAACTTTAAAATTTATCTTAAAGCCTTTAACATGAATGACACTGAAAAAAATGTTGAACCACAATTTAAAAAAGCTCCAAAGGAGGTGAGTTACAAAAAAAATTTAAAACTATTAATATACAATTACATGAATTTTAATTAAGTTTATTTTAAAACTATTTATTGATACTAGTAAGTCCAGATCTGTAATACGGGTCATGTAAGGTCTGGTGCACAACTCCCACATATCCTTTATTTGTTTTCAATAAGTTTCAAAAAATTGTAGAAAATAATGATCTTTAACCTCATTAGAGATCTTTATTTACAATTTTCTCTTTCGTTTCTTGAGTGTTGTTTGTGCACATAGCATAACAAATTGAATATGTTAAAAGTTGGCTTAATTAAATATTTTGGCTCCAATAATATTGAAGCTTCAGTTTCATTGTCTATTTGTTGTTGTTTTAACTTTAAGCTTTGAAACTTCGCTTTTTTACTGAAGATATCTTTATTTTATTTGATATTGTGGCAAAACTTATTAAAAAAAAAATACTGTTAACATTATCTGGATCATATTTTTAAAATATGGAAAACATTTAGTGTAAAATATCCATAACAAATCTTGCCTTGCATTTGGCATAATTTTGTGTTGAGCTAATTAGTTTTTTTGAAACTTTCTTCAATCATTGTGAACTAAAAAGGTTAAAAAATATATATATCTTTAAAGATATATATTTAAGCTTGTGTTTACAGGTTATTTTTTAAGGAATCCATAATAACAGAAATTCTAAAGTTTATATATCTTTAAAACGATTTTATTTAAATATATCAATGATATAAAATTAAATATGTAGCAAAACAAAATATATGTATTTTTGTAAAAAGTTTAAAGAAAATAAATAAATAAAGATTAAAACGCAACCCTTTTCAACATTTGTCAATCTTATTAAACAAGTGATGTTGATGGTATCACAATTTCTGTTATAAAGGTATTTTTCAAATTCAGTTAAAACAGCTGGCATCTACACTACGGGTGAACCAAGCACAGCCTATTCTAAAGAAAACCATATTATAATAACTTAAAATATTTATAAAACTTTTATGGATAGGAACAATGATTGAACATGTATTAAAAAAAAACATGATTATATTGACAATAATTACTTTATTATAATACCATTTTTGCAATGGGGATCGATCTTTAAAAAAAAAAGCCAACTATAAAATCTTATCCAAAGAGCAAAATTATTAACAACACTAAAGATTTAGTAATTTGAACAAATTTTATTATGGTAATATTAAATGTTGTCTTGCGTTGACTAACATAATGTTTGACCAATATTCATAAGCTTGCATTTAAATTCTTAAACTCATTTTTCCAATCAAAACATTTGAAAGTTCTTTATAATTTCCTTTAATGTATAATTTTTTTTGTTTTTTGTTTTTGTTTTTTGTTTTTGATCAAGGTTGTTATTTACCAAATGTTATCTTTTATGATTAATAGCAGTTTGGTAATGAAACAAACTATAATCATATTTAACTATAGGCACCAATGGGAATCTAAGGTTAGCTGTCTATCAACACAAAATATTAAAACAATAGCATTACTACAATTACAAAAAGAAATAGCACTTAGCATAAGAAATTTGTAGGTTCACATTACATTACACTAAATATTACCAGAAATATGTATTTTCAAAATAGTTATGAAAGGCTAGACAACAGGACCTAGATAAACAACAGTAAAACCTCCTGGGACTAAATGCTGTCACATTTCTACTTAATAAACAACTTGCATAGTTGGCAATCTTGCTCTACACCATTTAGCATGTTTTAAAAAATAGAATTTTAGTTAAAATAGACGGCTTAAAAAATAGACGGCTAGCATAACAGCATAAAACATTGCAAGCCACTTGCTTGGCTAGTTTAAAATCCTCGCTCTACACGAACTGCAAACCACTTGCTTGGCTAATTTCACGACCTAGCTCTAGCTCTACACGATTGGTTATGGGTTATAACATTATACCTTAAGTAAGCTTTAAATTTTTTTTGTAAGAAATGATATGGTAAATGATAAAAATGGTAAAACAATCATTAATAAATAAGGTATATTTGAAAGTAAAACATAGTATGAAAAAATTTAACATAATTGTTATTCATTTATTGAACTATTCAAAAGTTATATTATTCATAAATCCAACTTTTGAAATTTTATATTCAATTGTACTTATAAAAACAATAACTTTAATATTAATATTGTTTTTATAAGTACAATAATAACATTGTACTTATAAAAACAATAACTTCAGAACATTAGAAAATATAACATTATTTGTACAACA